TCTTTGAGTCTTATTTGTAACTTTGTCCATAATAACAGAATCTCCCTAAAAAGTGGTTTTGTTTTTACACTAAATTTTTATTTTTATAGCAATATGTAATAACATCTAATGGTGTTAGAATGCAAACCTAGCTTAGTGGGAACCAGTGCTGTGCTCCTCTAGGTGAGTTAGTTACAGAGCTGTGGTAAATTTTCCCTTTTCTGAATACATTTTAGCCCCTTTATATTTGTATGACAGAAAGGTTTGCCAGCTATATTATGTCCATGCTCATGGATGGTTTGAAATCACCTTTTTGATTCAGATAGAAAATAATTATATTTCGAAGGACTTCGTGGATTTACAAATTAATTTCTAGAACAGATGGCTATACTGGATATCTTTCCAGCTGTGGTGTTTCAGCCCAGGTGAGAGTTTTGAGTTTTGTATAATAAGCATAGCTTGAAATTCACTCCGCGATGACTTCTACTTGCCATTTACATGGAAACGGCTGTTTTCAGCGCATTTGGTAATTTTTTTGTTTTATACTTCAGTTGAGATAAAAGTAATTTAAGAACTAGGTGTTTCTCTAGGATCTTTCCCTGGTTTTGAACAGTTGTCTGAAAATAAGATGTTCCATCTTCCTCAGTATTTACTATTTTCCTCATTGTTAGACTCAAATACCCTGTGTAGTTTGTGCACTGCTCTCTGCCATCTCAGTATTCTAGATTCAGGCTCACATTACAGTATGACTTAGACCATAAGTTACTCTTATCTAGGCAGTGATTTAGAAGGTACCTTGTGCTGGCCCATCTCTCAGAGAACGACTCATGTTTTATATGCAGGACTGAATCTCTTGGGCTTAAATGTCTCTTGTAGCCTTGTGAGGCTCCTCCCTCATGGCTGATAACTTTTCAACCAAGTCTCCTTCAAACTGCCTGACTAATTCAGGAGTGCCTACCTGAACAAAACCTTCAGCAAGGGCACGTAGCTGAGTGGTGGGACACCAAATCACTGCCATTGCAAGATGTTGGCTTCTGGAAGAGGATGGACGCGCCATCCCTTTCCTCTGTGCATCTTATTATATTGTCAATGAGCATTGTGCCAGTCAGAGATCCCACATCTCTCTAAACACCATGTTTAACACCTTTTCTGGTCATGTGGCCTGAGATCCTGTTGAGGACACAATGACTTGCCTCACGGCTGAGGTGCTTGATTGGGACTTCTGGTTTTGTGTTTTGAACGTCATCTGGTAGAATTTTCAGGTGGTACTCCTTCTGCCTTTTACTCAGCACCTCTCATCCAAAGCACTTGCATGTGCTCCTTCTATGCTGGCAGATGCAATAACGGTTGCTTAAAATAGGGAGTTAAAATTAATCCTCTCAGCCACTACCACAAACAGGAATGTTCTGTTTCCACACAGGAAAGTGACGTCAAAGTGCAAAGTTCTGTCTTTCCTTCACATAGTGAATCTTCTCCCTGGTTTAAATGTAGAGTGTGTCAGTTTCAATCCTGTTTTTACTCCAGATGACTATTGTGAACTGGCTGCCCTGAGTTAATAATGCCCATTCATTTTTTCTCTCTGTTATAGGCATCCTGTCTTATTATTGGTTCTTACGTAGTTATTTGTCTATTTTTTATTTAGGGATCACTTTAGTGTACATTTTACTTTGTGCTGTACAAGATCCTTCTATACTGGGTCATTTTTATGTGCTCAAAAAATCAGTTCTAACTAAAAGAGAGTAGAACTAATGTAGCCCAACAGGGATGATCTCTGGGTGACCAGGGAAACTCAGCACTCAATTCTGCACAGCAACATCCTGGGCACTCACAGGCACTTCTTTGACACAGCATAATGTAATTTAGAAATTTCATCTGTCTTTCTTGACAGAGATCTGTCAATCTACAGCAGCTGAAGACCAGTATTTTTATTAATTTCTTACAAATGTGAATAAAATAATCAAAGGGGTTTTCTTTCTCTTAAAAACTCACAAAATTCCCCTCAAAATCTCATGGCTTGAGATATTCCTTTTTTTCCAGGTCCATCACCTTCATGTGCACGGAAGAGGTATTTATGGCATATTATTAGGGATGGTCTGGCTAATCTAGGGATAGTATTAGTTACATAAGATCTCAAACATACCTCAAGTGCAGCATGGATGCTGTGGAGTGAAGCAATTATCTATTTTGCTGTCTTCAGAACAGAGTGACCTAGATTCTCTCTTCTTTTTTTTTTTCCCCCTCTTTTTCTTTTTTTTTTTCCCTTCCGTTTTTCCTCACAGGGTGGCCCACTTAGTTGATTAAACTGAAACTCAATTATAGCTGGTTATGTTACAGTTGGGAATAAAGCAGATATAAAGAGAGTGGAGCTGATAAAGTAATTTATTTTTTTGCCTTACTGGTTAGCTGTAAATTATGATTAGGATTAAGTGACAAACATTTGGCTTAGTAGCTTTTGGGTGACAGATATTTCACAGTAGCCTTGGCTGGCTGCATGGAACGCAGAAAGAGATTCAATGAAAAGGTGTGCATTTAATGGCAAGAAAAAAAAAAATCATAGTCTAGGTTATGAAAGATTTGAAATAAGCTTTAAATCCAAAAGAAGTCCCAAGTCAGCAAATCCAAGGTCAGCATGGTTCATACTTTGTTTGAGGGGAATACATGAAACACATTGACACTTGTGCATTATTTATAACTTTTATGTAGTGCAAATTCTCTGAAAAATCATTAGAGGCATTAGGAGAGTAAATAAATCATGCAGGTAGGAGGAGCTCTCATCCTGCAATCTTTGGTAATAAAATTACCCTTTTAGTTAATGCCAGCTAGGTAGCATGTGGTCCATGCTAAAAACACTATAGTTAATGAAAAATGACATAGTCTTAGTGTTGTGTAAATTTCCTCATCTCTCCCCTCACTGCCCAGGGAACAAACCAAAAGCAAATCTGTTCAGTGGAGGACAACCTGGAAAGTAAAACTCTTCTCCCCATGAAATTTAAAGAGTTAAAGAATTCAAGAAGAGCCTGAAGACACATAGAATCTATTACATTTCTAGGCAAATATCTCTGGGGAGATATTTGCAGCAGGGATTAAGTTGTGGTTGGAACCCAGCATCAGATTTATGCAGGGACCCCAAGAACCAGGAGGAGAGCACCTCTGTCTCTTTGGGCTGGATGCTGAGCATGGCTTGTTCCTGTGTTATGGCACCACTGTTGCCACCTGCACATTCAAGCATGATGACTTGACCAGGTGAAAAAAGCAATGGGAATTCTGCTCTGACTTCTGTCTCTGGCAGTGGGGAAAGATGATTCTGTAAATATATTTCTTGATGTCAGGGCATCTGAAAATGCCATTACCCAATTTAAGCTGCAGTGTCTTGCTGCTCAGTTGCCACTTCAGTTTTTGAAATCTGTCTTAGAGTTGGAAAGTCTGTTCTCTGCAGTGTGAGGTGGCTGCTCACCTTACCTGCCTGGATCCCCATTTGGCTTCAGCAAAACAGGAAAGAAGTGTCCATCTATGGCAAAATCTTCCTTTCATATCTTAGACCATAAGAACTTCCTCAGTAATCAGAGAAGAATTGAGGGACAAGAACTTTTGGAAATCCTCCTTGCATTTGTGCTGAACCTTCCTTTCAGGAAGGAATGGGCTGGTAAGGAAGCAGTATGCAGATATTCTGGGAGACAGTGTACAAGGCTGATGACTCAGTTAATCGGTTATGACAAGGGCCAGATCTGCTCCAAGTACAGCTCACTTAGAGCAAAAGAGAAAGATCACATTGCTCCATCTTCAAATGTTGTATAAGAGTGAAGTGCTATTCATCTTTGTAGGGAGTTTTGTGTCTGTTGAGAAGGACTAATCAGAGATACCATAGAATATAATAGACAGACATGTAATTTGAAGACCTTGAAGGTTCTAGAAGGCCTGGGCTTAAAGATGGCTGACACCATGGGGAAGCCCACACTTAATTTCAAATGGTCTGAGTGCCAGCTGAAATTTGAAAGTGTCTGAGACACACACATGATTTCATATTCTTTTCTGTGCCTCTTCTTACCCGTGCTTTTATAGTGACTATATTAGTTAATTTTCTTTCAATAGCTGACAGGCACAGACATGGACTTTGGCTTGTCTTTCAGTCGCCTTTTTTCCCTCATGCCAAGAGCCCTCACGTCAGAATGTTATCTCTTTGATTTATTTTTGTGCTAAGATAGCACTACAACCACTTAACAGAAGAGCTTAGGAACTGTCTCTTGAGATATATCCACCAGGATCAGACTATTCTCATCTAAAATGTGGTGCCTAACAGGAGAATCTAACTGGCATCACTTGTCTCAGCTACTTCAGGACTGCTGTAGTGTCCTGAGAAGGCACAGAAGGGATTTGTTTCTTTAGTCATGCCAAAGATGACTAAAGAATCAAGGATCAAGAACACTTTACATATTCCATATAAGAAAGATGGGCAGGCCTTAGACCTGATAATGCTTTCTTTCCTGTTTTCCTCACCACACAAGCTCCAATCTAGCTTCTCTCTGAAGGCACCGGGTGATTCATGTCCGTGATATTACCCTGCACAGAGCTGTAAATCACCCTTGTCTTCCTCATGGCAATGCTGGGCATCCCTTTCCCATGTACTCCTCAGGAGCAGACACCCTTTAATGGTGCAGCTGGTGGGTGGTAACAGCCTGAATCTGCTGACATTTTGCTAATGCTATTTGTTACAGCCAGAGCTTCTGTCTGTGCTTCATAGAAATTCTGGGGGTTATTCTTACCAGTGATCTGTCAGGACCATCACAATGATGGAAGGAGGGAAGCAAAACAGTAATTCTTGTTTGAGGGCTCAGCTCTCCACTTACCCACCAACAAACCTGTTACCCTTTTTTGGACTGCTCCAACATTTTTCCTGCAAGCATGTGTCCAGATTCTGATGCTCGCCACTATTTAGAGCCAGGTGTTTGCTGAGCCCAGCAGTGGGGACAAAGACAGAGAAATGATAGCCATGAATTTGCAACCCTCACCATCTGGATTACTCACATGGTGCTGCTGAAAGAGCTGTTGCAACTGCCAGTGGAGCATATGTATAAGGGTTAATGTGCCGTGGTTATATCACTGACAGTCTCTGAGTAGTTAAATTCAGTTCAGGGCTCAAGTGGAGAGACCTAAGGTTCCCTATGTTCTGTAAAATGCTCCCTGTTCATGTTTGCTAACCTTTTAATTAGAGAACGAAATAGAGAAAGTCGTAAGAGGTAACTGTCTTGAAATGCAAAATGCTCAGTAGAGCTTTATTTTAACAAGGTTCCTATTCCCAGTCTCTTTAACTACAAAGCCCCTATAAGGGAGTCAGCTCATGAATCAGTCTTCATTAAGACGTTTATTAAAACTGGCAGTAACTGCCCTCTAAAAAAGAAGAAATTAGTTGTGTTGGGCAGAACAGGATTTGTTGGGATTTTTTTCTTCTCATTTAAATCCAGTTCTGTGCCCTCAAAAACAAAACAAGCAGAGCACCTGGAGTAGTGAGATTAGAGAAGAGTACTGTCACAGTTTGTCAGCTCCTTGGTGAAGCTGGCCTGACCTTGCAGCCTTGTTGCTTAAGGATAGAGAGCAAAATGCGTGTAATCAGCTGCTGAGAAACTTGGCTGACTTTAGCTGACTCTGGTCACGAGTGTGTGCCAGTAGGGTAAATGAGACAAATTGTCTATCTACAGATTTTTCTCTTATTTTCTGACCCATAGGACAACTTTTTGCAGGTGATATAGGAAGTCCTGTCTGTTTTCTAGAATATTCTGGGCCTCTGAAGGAAATTGAGGAATAGAAGGTGTGAGCCAAAAGCTTTCTTCTGTCTGTCCACCATCACCTCAGCCCACTATCAGAAGCAGAGCTATTTCTTTAGCTCTCATTCCTGACACGTTGTTGACCTTTGGTCTTGGATGGCAGTCAATTGTTAGACATGTTTTCAAGGCTGCCAGTGTATTGTCAACAGGCCTCTAGGTTATGAGATTTGGTTTATACCAGAGGGCAGAATGTGTGCATCAACCCAACATTAGTTTCTTCTGAGATTGTGCCTATAGCAACATATTTGTGAGTGGAAATCAGCTGGACTACCACTGCTTTTTGGGTCAAGGCCTTTAGTATTCCAGCTCAGTGTCATGGCACTGAAGTAGGCTGGGCTTAGCTGCCATGGTCTATCTGAAAAAAATGATTCCACTGCTGTATGATCTATGCTGCTAAGCACAAGCACAGATATGTGGCTGTATTCATACCACATAGCCACACAGTATCAAAGGATGCAGAGACTTGGACTCATTTTGTGAAAGGATGTATTTGTCATGAAAAGCTATTTTTTATCTCAACTTCAGCTTGATTAACTTGTCTCTGTAATATTCCAGCTGAAGATCTTGACCAAGCTTATTACAAAACTCAAATGGATAGACCAGTTTTATATCAGAAAGTAACATTTATCATTTTCACTAGAGACTAGTATTTACATTATTTAAAATGTAAAAACTGTGTCTTCCCCAAGCAGACCTCTGAGGAACATTTTCAGCTTCTTCCTATAAGTAAGCACGTGTTCCTTCTTTGGCCCAAAAAGTGATAATGAAGTGATTAAAAGGTGGTAGTTTTCTACCAGAGAAGGATAAAATACAGCATTGGCATATATTCCAGCCACTAATAAAAAGCAGGGTGAAGGTTATAAGGTCATTTAAACATTTGCACCAGAACACAATAGCTCAGAAGAGTGGGAGGATTTTCTGCCTGATTTACTCAAACTATGTCAGGATGAGGAAGTGCTGTATTTAGTAGCTCTTCTCTTTAAACTCCAGTATAGCTATTTCCTGGCACACTGCATTGATCTTCCTCTCATCATCTTGTAATAATTGTAAGGGCAGGGCCGAATGTAATCTCATGTATTCCATGCCTTAGCTGTGACAGTATTTTAGACAACTGTCCTCACCTTTTCAGCAAAACTACCAGTGAGGTCCTTGCAGGAAGTGTTCATATACTTGCGCACTTGAATATTCCCCTTTTGGTAGACACTGTTGGTTTTGCACTTTGTCTGTTTCATTCCATTATTTGAGGAGACTTATAATGCTAATTTTGCTCTGTGTGGCAGCCCCTTTTTGCTTGCCTTCATCCAGATAATGAACTGTGGAAAGGCCATTGTGCTTGAAAGCTGCTCTGTTTTTTTCCCTGGTAATGCGAAGTATTCTGTCTCCTAACAAGCCTTGCATCTGTTGCTTTCTTACATCACCTTGTTTGCACTTTACAATGGGATAAATGTCCATGTTGTCATTCAAACTATTAATTAAAATGAAGGCTAGACCTTGCAGAATATTCTACCAGCAGCACATTCTTCCAACCTGACAGCAAATCAATTGTGCATCAGCTTCCATACTTGACAAAACAAAATAAATGTTTTCCAAAAGCGTTTTTGTGGTAGCTTCTACAAACATACTGATGGCTATAGCTACTACTGTTAACTGGGAAATCTTGAAGTTCCCTCAAAGAAACAATATTTACTGACCTTTTAAGGAACCTGTGAGAGGCAATGGCTTCCCTTAAGATGATAGGAGAGAACATCAGCAGTGTTTTATTGCCATAACTGCTGGATATCCACAATAGCTGAGATCCTTCTCCTATCAGGATTGTCCTCCTGGCAGAAGGTCACAGCTACAGACTCAATTTACCTTGGTGTGGAATGTTTGCAAAAAGAAGAAGGTCTGTAGTTGCTTTCAAATCTAAACAGCAGTCAACTTTATTGGTTCATTGCAATGGTGTACGCCTTTTTATTTCTGTGCTTGCTCCTGTGAAAGTTTGGTAAGGCAGTGGAACTAGGAGAGGTACTGTGGAGCCAAGGAAGGTTTAGAGTAGTGTGAGGACATATCCTGACAGCAGAACATGGTGTCTGACAGGTCATATTATATGCCTCAGAGCTGTCAGTATCCTTGAACTGAGACATGTCCCTCATCTTCTAGATTTTAGATAGTGTCCTAGTTTAGGGCAAATTTGAGGAAAACCCTCTGGAAGGAGCCCCCAGAAAACAAACCCCCACGGCCCCTCCCCACCCACCTGGTTCGGGAAAAAATTTTCTCTGAGAGAAGTGGAAAAGAACCTGTTTATTCAACAAACAAAGCACCCCCCAGCACGAGAAAGAAAATTAACCACACCAGATGACAACAAACTCTTTCACCACTCTGACGAGATGAACAAATCCAGTAAGTCTTTCCTGGGAGTTGTCGCCCGGGTCTGGACGCTGGGGATTGCTCTCCAGCACTGGGGATGGCTGCTGCAGATCACAAAATGCAGGCTCCTGGTGTTCCTTGGTGTTTCCCAGATGTCCAGAGCAGGTTGGATGGTATTCAGGAAGAGGAAAGGAAAAAAAACAGTCCAGGGAAAGAATTGGACTGCTTAGCTAAACTAACTAGGAAGCAAAGGCAAAAGCAGAAGCAAGCCAAGCAAGCCGGCAAAGCAAGCAAGCCAAGCCAGTAAGCAAAGCAAAAGCCAGCCAGCCAGCCCTAGCCTTTTCTAGACAGCAGGTGAACTGGCTGATAACAAGGCAAAACAAACCTTCACTTTCAGAGTCAGTTCTGAAAGCACAGAACATAATATCAAACGTAAACAGAACACATGATTGGAGATACAAACACCATTACGTCACCCTAGGACAGATAGGAATGCTGGAAAAGCATCTATGAGTTTTGTGATTGAAAGAAAACATAACACCAATAACCAAGTTGTTATTGGTGTTATGTCTTCTAAAATATTGGATTAAGTATTCTTCTAAAGTATTGGATAAGTGCAAAGAACAAGTTATTGCTTATTAGCAGTGTGCTATTACCTCTCTCCATGTAGTCCTCAATCTGCTTTGTGGTTTGATGGATATTAATCTCTTTTGGAACGAACTAAAACCTTCTATGAGAATAAGGTTCCTCTCAAAGGAGTACTGTGTTCATATCAGAGCAGGAAGCATCTGACCCTTAATTCAGAATGCAAGAGGCAGTTTGCATGGTGGTAAGTATTTCAGGGATGTTGCTTTGTATTCTGATTGAAAGGAAGACATAACTAGCATGAGCCATTTTTATGTGCTGTGGCTGTCAGAATCAACAGGAGGCTGGTCTTAAAAAAGGGTCAATATAGTTAAGATGAGAGGTGAGGATATGGGGGGAAATAGCTGAGATTGTCATGTTCACAAGAAGAGGATTTACAGGAGCTGAAAAAAACAGTACAGTGGCATATGCTGGGAGTAGGTCCCTTGAGTAATTGCCTGAAGCTGCTGTGAATAAAATCCACTGTCCTTCTTTCTGACTGTCCATGACAGTTGCACTTCTCTTGAACAGGAGTAACTTGCACAAACTTACAAGTGACACACGAATTTTGGACATACCTACCAGTCAAAAAACACTTCAAGTTTCCTACCTGAAGAGGCAGACAGTGCTTCTTAATTCTGTCATCTATTCTGTAAGGAGAAAAACCCATTGTGGTCTTCAGATGTGCTGATTTAGGACCATGTTTGAGATTTATTCTAGCAGCACTGACATTCAATCATTTTTTCATCCCAGCTATTAGGAGGAGGTGTGCTTTCCCAGTGATTGTGGCCAGTGTAGTGGCTTTTTGTGTAGGCTGCCTGCATGGTGGTGAGAAGAGTTCTTTCTGCACTGGAAAACAGTGTACTGAGTTCACAAAACAAGATAACCTGGTCAGTTCTTTTTAAATTTTATAACTGGTGTTGTTTGCGAAAGAAACAGAATGGAAGTGATTCAAGGATTAATCAGATTGTCCCATTTACAATTGAGGCATGACACTCAACAAAAAAGTTTACCTCAAGAACATTCAAAAATGTTTCTCTGTTCTGGTTTTCTCTCTTTTTCTTTATGTTTGAAACTGGGACTTTGTTTTAATATCTAAGCAAAAATCGTGTTTAAAAAAAGCGCATAAAAATAGTGCTTAAAAACACATTCCCCATCTCCCCCCATCTCTCAAACTCTCTTTAAGTAACTATCTGTTCACCTTGCCACAAACTTAAAAGGGGTGAGAAAAATCATCAGCTTTTAAGCAGTTGCATTGGTTCTTGCCTTAACAGTATAAGGCTTCATCCAGTGTTAAAACATGACTTTGTCAACAGCTAAAAAATTGGGATGTTTAGCATAGGAAGACGTAGATCAGTGGGATTGCTCTGATCCCAGCTAAATACTTGTGTCTTTAATATTGAAAAGCTATAAATAATGGTCAGTAAAGTAAAAAAGCATGAGATAAAATTAAGTGCATGTGTTACTCCTTTACTAGGTTGGGGCTCAGTTGTTTTATGTACATTGTGAGGAAACTAAAAGTTGTTGAGCCTTTATACTTGCTCCTTCTCTGTTGTCTTGGCCGAGACTCTGATCTCTGCATGATGGAAAACTGAAAATGTGTGCAGAGCTATCGACAGCTGTCCAGAACATCAGTGAGGGCTATGACATTTTGAGGCTTCTAAGGAGATCCAGGCTACAGTCATCAGTGGCTAACTCCCTTTATAAGACAGTTCTTAGGCCTTGTTTCATGTAGCCACTGGCATTTATTCTTGGCAGCAGAAAACTGTTCACCATTTTAAACATTTGGTGTTTGGCCCACTTGAAGAGTGTGAAGTCACATTCTTTTCCAGCCATGCTTCTAGGTCATGTCCCATCTTTATTTGCATCAGTTCTCTGTGTTTCTGTCATCCAGTATTGCCTCAGATGCAGCTGTGATTCTGGGTTCTTTTGCATAGCAGATTTTAAATTGTGATAAGCAGCTGCTAGCTGGAATTGAAGCTTAGGGCTCATTAGCTCACAGAGACACTTATATTTTCATTTGCATTTTTGGGGAGCTTATGATAGCCTGTAATTACAATGTCTGAAGGCTGTCTGTCCTCCTGGGGCTGAGTAGCCACTGATTTTCTGCTCATTTGATAAGCAGCAGCAAGATGAACCATTTGTTTAGAAAGCAGATAGATTTCTTACACTGTTGTTAGCCACAGAGCTGGTACCCTCCTAATCCCTTCTGCATGCACTGGAACACTTTTTGGTATTAATAATGGATCCTGCTTCTTTAGGACTGCCAGACAGTAAGGTATTTTCCGGAGGGTGTAAAGATATTTACTGTTTTTCACAGAAGAGTGAATTGAAGCTCAAAGGTAAATCCCAATCACTGAGATGTGAAGAGAGTGACTTTGCCATCCTGACTAGAGTAACTCTCTTTATTAATAAAATTGTAACAGGTGAAAATATGACTGTGAAAGTGTATTGAAAGTAATATACCAATTCAAAAAAATACACAAACAAGCTCTAAGATAATAATTCAGCAGGCACAGAGTATTTTCCTTACCTGATAGGTGGTCCTGTGGGGGAGACAAGACAGGTCCAACATATCAACAGATCCCAGAAGTTATGATGGAATCCTCCCCTCAACATTTCTGTATTTTTAAAAATTTTTTAAACTGCTTTATGTTTAGGTGGAGCTTGAGTGACTTTAGTCTTACATTGTACCCAGTGAGTGGGGGTTGTACCTTGGGGGTGGGTACCTAAGATAACCTTAGGTTATAACACCCATTCTAGTATCTGTTTTCCTGTCCTGTTTTGTGATGCTTCCTCTTTCATTGCGCCTTGATGTTCTGAGGAAGATGTCTTTGATCTGATGGGGGTCAGGGGGCTTGGATCATCAGTATTGGGAATCCTTTGTCTGTCCTTAGACTCAGCATGTTTTGGATTTGAAGTGTACTTCAAAGATCGTCTGTTTTCAATATCTCTGCCCTCTACTAGATCAGATTGCTTCAAGACCCTTCCAACCTGACTTTGAACACTTCTAATGATGGAACACTCACAACTTCTCTTGGCATCCTGTTGTTATTACAAGATTACCAAAAGGAAGTACGTGCATATGATCACTCTTACCTTTATATTCATGTTCATGCTGTGTGAGAGGTCTTACCTGTGCAGCAGTGACCAAACTGGTCTGAGGAGTGTGGCTGAGCAGTCATGGAAAAGGGTCTCTGCAAAGGTGATCCACATAATGGAGTTTGGGGTCAACCAGGTGTGCTCAGTGAGGGAGATGTCAAACAGAGAAGCTCCCACAGAGAAACTTGTCTTGGTCAGCCATTCATTTTGGTATTATTTTAGTGTGGACACATAGGTGAGCATAGGGCACAGCTCCCAGCTATGGATTTGAGAGAAGGCCCAACTCTCGTGTGGAAACTTACAGTCCTGAAGAAGAAAATACATGTGTCAAAAGGCAGCATCCACAACCTAGATGGAAAGGATTAAAAATAATAAAGTGGCAGGTATTGAAAAAGATACCAATATTTTTACTGGTAACAAATGATCAAGAAGGCTATCCCAGGAAGGATATATACTTGATCAAACACTGATTATTACAGCCTGAACCAGTTCCAAGTTTTATGCAATAAGGGCACATGCCTGAAAACAGGGCTTTTCCTGAGGATGAGCTACAATTTTGACTTTCATTGTGCATGTAGGTTACCTGTCCTGCACTTCTCCTGACATATACCAAAATAGATTGCAGGTCTCTAATCACCAGGGCATATTTTCCATTGATATCACTTCACAAAGATGCAGGCCAGTTCACAAAATGTAAGAACTCAGATTTTACGTATATCTCTCAAAAGCAGCAGCTTCTGTGTCCCCATTACATGCACTTACTTATTGGTGATGCCAGCTAACTAATTTATGTAGGAGAAGAGTGCTGCACCATACACATATCTGAAAATAATGAAAGGTTGCAAACGGTTTGAATCTGCACTGTATTCTAGGTTAGAAATGTAAAGACAGAATAAATTACACAGGAATAGAATTTCTGCCTTGCAGTGAGTGGGAGCAATTTTTGGTATTTGGCACAGCAGGCCTATAGGAAAGCATTTGTTATAAATAGATGCAGGATGAACACAGAGGGGATCCTGATAGAAAGTGAAAAAGTGCTGAGC